AAGTTTTCTAGTTCATCATCGGTATATGGCTTGTGATCAACAACTTGGCCAAGTATTCTCAGTAGATGTATCCATCGTGTTTCGTCTGTCGAGAAGCTACAAAACAGTGAAGCTGGACCTAACTGTCTTATCATTGCAAAAAGATCTTTCTTAGCCTTCTCAAAATGGGAAGGTGATCCACGCAATGCTGTTAGAAATTTATATCCCTCATCATGACGTATTAATCTTTCTAATGTTCCTTCTTGCTTTATATGACCTGCATTTAAAGACCTGCTATTTACCTTGCATTTCTCAGGGCAATATGTGATTTTCCTAAAATGATTTTCATTTGCAACTTTTTGGCTTTGAAAAACATATTCTCAACACGCATGGCCGCTCTTCTATCTGATCTCCTCAGTTCAGACTTACAGATATTGCTATACTGAACTTTAACCTTGCGTTCTTTAATTTCTGGTCTTTTCATACCAACAAATATATATATCTTATTAGACGTTTTGTTGTGTAGTATCGCTGAGTATTTTTACGAGTTGTGCCGTATTTTGACGAGCCCGTAGGGCGAGTCAAAATACAAATAACGAGTAAAAATACTCGGTGATACTACACAACAAAACGTCTAATAAGTTATTTATAATCTAACACGCCAAACTGTTATTTCAGTGCGGGCGAATTTCGAGGATATTTATCTACGGGGAGTGCATGACAGAAGTGTGCGAAGCGGAACGGAATTGGCGCGTTGTCGTGTTGCCGTTTCAATTTTCTTCAATAAATGAAGAAATTTCCAGGTCGTCTAACTGCTTTTCTTCGCTCGATTCATGTAATAAACCTGGATGTATATTTTCCAGCCATTCTGACTCTTCGTCGTCCGAAATATGATTGAAATTGTCCGCCATTTTTTTTTTCGTAACTACAATTCAATTCTTCGCGCACGCGATGCGGGAAAACCTGTTTAACCGCCACCCGGTTAGCTCAATTGGTTAGAGCGCTGGACTGTTGTGCGGGAGGTCGAGGTCGATGGTTCGAGCCCCGGCCTGACCAACACTCAAGGTCTTAAAATAACTGAGGAGAATGCGCTACCTTTCTATAATATCAAGAAATGGATAGACATTCTAGTCTTCTCGGATAAGGACATATAAACCGTTGGTCCCGTCTCCTGCATCTACTAATTAGCTAATTTGGTTAGGCAGGGGACGTTAAAGAACCCACTCACAAGATTACTGTGATGTGGTCTGGGCTGTTTACTTGGATAGGGGGGGAGGGGGCATCTTCAAATAAGTTTCCTTCGATTGTTTGTAAACTGCTGATGCAGTCCGGCCAAAGTCCCCGAAAAGTGTTGTGAAAAGCATTTGATCATATTCACATGTTGATTTGCGCAATATAAATATTAAATTACTATTATTATTATTATTATTATTATTACTTTAGAGCACAAGTACCGCGTGATATTTGTACTCTACGAAGTGTACTTGGATAATAATAAGCCACTATTCACCTCGATTTCAAAGAATAGTTATTAAATATAAGGAAGTTTGCGTTTCGATTTTTCCGTATTACAATGCTCGATACATAAAAATAGAGCACAATGGATGTTAAGTTAGAAAAATACAAAGACTTCGCTTTCATCCCTACAAGCCTGTTTCGTGATTGCTTACTCATCAGGGGATTTTATTCTGGAAAGTTTTTCTATAAAAGGCAATTGAAGACAATTGTCGAAACGTCAGGTTATTCTCTCAATTGAAACCCAGTGTCATAAGTTTATGTACATTTTTTTAATGGAGAAGATAAACATTACATGGTTTCTGATTCTCCTACAGCAGAAGGAGATTTAGTTACTTATCAGAACCTTTAAGATGAAATTCCTAAGATTCCTCTTCAAATTTTAACTGCATTTAAACAATGTTTTTCTATGTTAAAAAAGAGAAACCTTTAATTGCTACCGAACTTGTTAATGGGGAACAGAGCTTACGTATTTTTAGGGTGGTTTGGTAAGAGTTAAAATACAAAAAGGAAAGCAGAATAAGAAATTGAAGATAAGATATGATAAAATGCACTTGTTTCTTTTTAGGTGCTGAGAAACTTTCCTTCAGGTGCATTTCCGTGTGACTAATAAGCGCTATGTTGCAACAACTACCATAATCATATTGTTGTGTGGCATTCTTTAACTTCTTTATCTTCTTTTCGCCAATACCTGTAGGGTGGACGTCCTTTCCGTATTGACTTTATGCCAGATCTTCAGCCAGAGGTTACTTCAGGGTTGGCTATCTTTAAGAAGTCAGACGATATTTTTGGTACTGTTGAGTTGGACAGATCACGGTTTGGTCACTTATTCGGAAGCCACATTCCAGGTGTTTTCTTCTCTCCGTAAAATAGCCTAAAACAAAAGAATCCTGGAACTAGTACGAATTGTTCTCCTGAGTTACATTTCACAATTTGCCCTTCAATGAATTAGCGGAGTCTATTCACGAGCAAATGTCTCTTTTTTTAAATCTTTTTCAAACTAAGATACTCTACATGGTCCTTTAATACGGTTGTGAAGTCTTCTTCAGGGACAGTAAGTCCGTTTAGTTTACCATGGAGTTTACTCACAAATGTTATGTTACAAATATTACCGATGGTCACGTTTTGGAAAAAAATTGAGTAGACGCCCCCTCCTTTGAATTGATACCTTTTATTTCATCATAAATTTGAAATAAGCACCAGAGTACTAATTTTAAGAGTTACGATGCTAGACTGATTGTCTTTTTCATTTTAAGAGGGGTCTTATTGCAAATTATACAAATAATCAGCGAATAATGATTAAAAAATGTGATATAAAATCAGATTTTTTGAATTACCTACATCCCTCGAGCTATGCTCTTCTCGATGTTGCATCTACGTGTAACTATTTGTTCTTTGCCATCCTGCTGTGGTTTTTTGTTATTTGCACTGACATTTATTAGTATGTTACCTGAAGCCGACCAAAAACATTGTAAATGTAGAGTTCTTGGGTTCGTTAATAGGGACTTTAAGCAAACCACGACGGCTACGGCAACAAGAACGTGGAAAAACAATAGATCTAATTGGCAGAACAATAGCTCAGCACGTGCGTTTTCAAACTTTGTACATTTCTTGGCAGTCCTTTGCAAAACAACAACGTGAAATCACCAAAATTCGCGTCGTCTGTGAAGCTAAACCGCGGCGGCAAGTTATTTTAATTTACATCTTGGGACTCAACGCTACTTTTATGCGTTATGTTGAGTTTGAGGTCTGGCGCCCTATGAGACGGTAAACACATCCAGCCATTTTCGAAATTCTAATTAAAAGTAGAAACTCATTCTTTGATCGACGTCTTCCGTGGCGTTGCTGTCCTGACTGCTTAAAGTCCCTAATATTACAATAGAGAGTTATACTCATGAACGCGGAGCTCTAGCTAGTCATGCACAAGTCTTTATTCACCTCAACAATTATTACACGGGAATCATACCTAAGTGAGGCTATGGGTACCACGTGATTACATTCCAGATTAACTGATCAAAATGTACAGCATGTATATATATATATATATATATATAGCATAAGAATATCAATTAGCTAAGATAAATAATTAACTAAAACACTACAGTAAAAATCTCTTCACATGTTTTTTTAATGACTTCACCAATTTAACTGCAGCCGCTAGAGAATCTGGTATCGCTGATGTGGAAATAGAATCACAGTACAGAGCTCACCTTGGGACTGCAAGGATATTCTACTATCCAGGTAAAGAGCAAGCTACAATGATGGTCCAACAGCCAGGCTTGTTCGGAAGGATTTGTAAGGAACTAAACCAACAATCGGTTTACAACTCTGATACCAGTGCGGGCACAGCACAAGCTTCGTTACCTCTTGGTAAGTTAAATTTGAAAAAAAAATTAAATTCAAAATATCAAATGGGTAGTGGTACGCTACCTAAGCTACCTTAATTGCATGTTAACGTAGTACCACTGCATTACGTTTGATTGAGGACTGGAAACTATCAATAGATGGGAAAAGGCTCATATCTTTTCATTGCACCACTTCACCAATACTGGCGTCCGAATGAACTCTGGGATTTGCCAAATCAGTACCAGGTTCCTCAGGGGGGCAAGTTGTTCACGTGGCTTCGATCTTTATTACGAACCAAACATAATTACCAGCTCTCGGTAGGCCTGTTAGCTCAGTTCAGTGGTCAAGCACGGCACCGGTATCACACCGGTATCACAGAAGTCATGGGTTCAGATATTCTTCATCACAGAGGTCATAATTTGTCACAACATTTTTATCACGCATCAGTTACTCGTACATGTAACGTCCGAAAACCTTAGGCATATCTTGTGAATACTTTCTGCTTGTTTCACAATATGCGTAAGGTCGCATATAGGAATTCTTTTTATCATTTGTATAAAAGCAAACTAATTTCCCCTATTTTTAAAAACTCTCTGACGAAAGCGTTTTACTAATCTAGCTCGTGCACTGCTACTCACTAACTTATCGTTTAGAAAATGTTTTTAAAGAGCTGAAGTTTCGTGAAAGAAATGCATCGAACCACTTTCAGAGAGACTGGTTTAAAATGTCCACCCGTCCTTCGACCATCTACAAGGTGTTACAGCTTACTTTATTACAAAGTATGGTGATCATTTGTTCAGTACGAAATGTGACAGCTTTTTCTTTATTACCAAGTGCGACAGTTTTATTACAAAGTGCAGCAGGTACTGAAAAGTGCGACAGAACAGAGTCTCGTCCATGCAATAAGTTCGTTTGTTTTTTGCTTCTGAATGGTCAATTTTGGCAATTATTTGAGGAAGGAGATATCTCTGGTCATTTTGCCTTGCCCTTTTACTTTGCCCGAGAACCGAAGCTTGATGTTCTTAAATGATGTTCTTGATGTTCTTAAAACTAGCATATTTGCCCTCGGCGAGGGCAAATATGCTAGTTTTGAGAACCTCAAATTTCCAGGGGGCAACTATCAGACCGATAGTTCCGAGACATAAACACTCTATTGTCTTTACTGTTCACCACTAGATTTTCTTCCGCGCGCCAGTTGAAAAACAGTCAAAACCCACTAAATCCAGATCAATCAAATATTTATTCACACGTGCAGCCTGTCATAAATGTCAATAATTCGCAACCGATCTGCCTAACTTCGCGGCCGTCAAACCATTCAAAATTTTTCACGGATGAGTGCTGTCCATCCGGGTTACTTCAACGGATGGGCATTATGGGCTGATGCAGTAAATGGTTTGAACCCGGGGGTAACATGTGAAGGTGTAGTCTGATCGTCCGGGTGAGTGTAGTCCTGAGAAGGACTGTTGTCGGTGGTAGTGACTGACGTTTCGACAACCTGTGCGGAAGTCATCATCAGAGTCACTTGACTCTGATGATGACTTCCGCACAGGTTGTCGAAACGTCAGTCACTACCACCGACAACAGTCCTTCTCAGGACTACACTCACCCGGACGATCAGACTACACCTTCACATGTTACCCCCGGGTTCAAACCATTTACTGCAAAACCAAATGATGTGATTACATTGGAAATTGCTGTAAATTACTTTCCCTGTTATGAATTTAGTGAAAAACTTTTTCCTTTTTTCATCAGCTATTTTTCAGGAAACAAACTCGGATATTTGCCAACAGGAATTTTCAAAGATCTGAAAAAGCTTT